TGTCTTATGCTCATTAAACAATCATATTTATTATTATTGTATGTATCAAATGTGTTATTTCTTTAGACCTTTCATATAAAGCAAGTACGCACATTATCGTTATTATTGTCACAAATGTTGGCATAGATGAAAATAAAATGTTATGTATGTGTGCTTCTTTTTTTTTTGAACATATGTTTATCTAATTATGTCAAGCGTGAAATATGGTTAAGTATGGTACAAAGACATTTATGACATTTATAAATTACTATATCGCATATGGTTTCGAATTCTGCAATTCTTGATAACTTTTCATTATTTTATTTAGACACATACATACACACTAGCTCATTTAACAATAAAAGGAAATAAAATCAGAAGTTATCACTATTTGTGAATTTCACAGCCTCTTTTCTAAACTTTCGGGGCCGTACAAATATTGCCTAAGCATGTTTTAAACAATTTTGGAGTCAGCAAAAATAAGCAAATCACAAAGACCCTTTCATCCTTACTTAAAAAAGTCGCAACGGTTCTTATTTTGCCTTTAATGTACTAATTCAATTTTAGGATAAAATTCAAGAAAAAATTATCTTTGCACATGCAAAATGTACGTTTTCATAAATTTTTATAAAGTTTGTGTTTATTATTCTTTCGAAATATTTTGCGTTTTCCATTTGTGTGTATACCTCTCTGAAAGTCTTTGGAAGAAAAAAAATTCCAATATTTTTTTTGTTTTAATTAATTGCAAATTGGAAATTTTTTGTTGTTATATTTGTAGATGATTTTGAAAATAAAGTCGTTTTAATATCATATGCAAACATTGCTCCTACCCATCCTCCAGCCTTGTCAACAAAAATGTATACCATGTAAACTGTCCCGTTGAGGTACTCACGAATTGTTTGAACGGTCCCTTTATTGAATTTTATTTTAATTCTGCAAATAAAAACAACGTCGGGTACTTATCGATAGACCAGGTACAAGCAAAACCAACTTTTTTTTAGTAATTTTTTTACCCTTTCTTTCAATTTATGTAATATTTTCGTGAAAGTCCATTTTTTTCAGTGTTACTAAAAATAAATAAAATTAAAAAAATAGTAAGAGAAAAGAAAAACGTAGAAGCGCATTTTTTGGCGACTTTTCAGATAATGTTGATTATCAAATTAGATTTTCGGAGCGTAAAACAGTTGTTGTGTTTGCCCTAAAATATATGTTTATATATAATTAACAACCCCCAGTAGTTGAGAAACGGTCTTTTGAAAATTCAAATCAAGTATGGTAACTGGCTATTGATTTGAATGAATGTACGCTATGGGGGCGTGTTTCGAACCAAGACGAATGCTGGTTTTGGTTGATTGGTCCAGAAAGTTTTATTGAGTCAACAACATTTATTCTCAACACCTCTACAAAAAGCTTAAAACCTGTGTATTTATGTACAGAACCAGTTATGCGCATTAATAATCGATGCATATAATCCCTGTGGCAGAATTTTTTAAGGATTTCTGCGACAAATTTCCCATTTTTTTAAGATACTTTTAATAATAACAATTACTAATTTAAAGTAACTTTGAGTTTACAGAAGAAAGTATAGAATAAAGCGTATAAAAATGTTTAATTGTAAGAGTAATATTATTTTAATTCTAATATTATAGGCGCTTTCTCGCATTTTGTAGTCGGAAAAATGAACTCATTATTTCCCCTTTCGAATTTTGTAAATCATTACGAAAATTGAATTTCGTAAATAAATTGAAAGATATTAAATTAAAATTTGTTAATAAGTTAAAAATCGTAAAATCCGTGCAGTCACTTCAAAATAAAGATCGACGACGAAATCACGCGAATAAGATACTCAAATGAGAAAAGAAGAAAAAAAAATGAAAGAGAACTCTTTAAAGGAAAAAAAAAATGAAAGAAATAACATCATTTCTAGAGCGAACTATCTTTTAAACTTTCGCGATTTCTGAATTTTTTATTTTATATTATTAATTTGAAATTCTAGCTGAAGTCAGTCATTACGGACTATTTTTTCAATCCAAAATGAGAATAGAAAAACCGCGATTATTTCTCTCCTCTTCTCAGATGCGCAAGAAATGAATTTCTAAAAAAAAAAATTCTGCCGGAAAAAAGAATTTCTTTTTTCAGAAAATAATGCAAAAAGGATAACCAAAATTTTTCCCTTTCCAAATAAAATATCCTTTTATAAAAACTCGGTAACGTTCTGCGACAATGTCACCTCAATTCCGCCACGTGGCATAGATTAAAACAAAGAATGGCTCGAAAAATATGACATTCAACATGATGCTAAATGTAAACAAAAAATGCTCAATTTTTCTCTTTTTTTATTCATTTAATTTCTCATCGGTTTAACGGAAGCCATTGTTTTAAAGTAAACTGTCAACGATGTGTCAAATATTCAAAAGATAACACCAATGATGCTAATAGCTCTAATCTAAAAATTTTAATTTATTGCTCGTTCTTGTATTACTTAACTATTTTTTATTCGTTAGCGGACTACGTCACCCAATGAATGTTTCTAAGGTTATCTGAAACAACGTGTTTATTATAATGTTTTTGAGCTACTGTAAAACTAAATTTATTTAAAATCAACGGTCATTGAAATACATTTTATAATGAAAATCAAAATAAGTGGAGAAATGGTACAAATTCGTTGAGGATAAAAGTAAAAAAAAGCCAGCCTTAGTAATGATGTATTAGACACTGATTTAAAAAATAAGCTGAGAATCAAAAATCAGAAAATGCCCTTCTGGGGAACCGCTTACTATTATTAATAAAAAATACTGCTTAATTTTGGTAAAAGGCACTGCTGGCAATGGATGCAGTTTTATTGGGTACCAAACAGACTCTTTTATAGATACTAAGTATTTTATTGGTAAATTTGATGCTGATTACAGCTGCGCCAATTATGTAAATTTTTATGATTAATTCTTTCCGGCTCTCGGAGAGTGCTAAATTTTTAAAATATCATGAATTACCTCGAGCATTGTGTCAGGTAATACGGAATATAGTTAATCTTTAATTTGATGGAATGAACTACGTGTTTTACTTAATCTAATAATGTAAAGATACCGAGTTGGGCAGCAAATAATAATAAAAAAACATTGGAATAAATTTTTGCTTTATTATTTGTGTCTTACAGTATTGTGAACGTTTTTGATGTGTTTAGTACTGATTTTTTTATTCATATTTCCTCACCCTTTGCAACCCAAGTCAAAATTTTTGATGGTTTTTCCATGGATGGACCAACATAATCTTGATGGTAACCATCAATAATTCCATCATGAGCCATTATATTTTTTGGTGGTAACCAACATAAGTAACCGATGTAGGAATTAGGACTGATGGTTCAACATAAAAACCAAATTATTTTGATGGTATATTCTTGAGAACCAACAAGAATTCCCAATGAACCATCTTGGAAATGTATAGTTGGAACCATCATGAATTGAGAGTCAAACTTCTTTTGATGGTTAACCATCATAGTATAAAAGTAGCATTTTCCATCGTGGAATGATGGAAGTTTGTTGGCACATTAAAAACCATGAACAAGTAATGGATGTTGTTGGACCATCATGAATAGCACTGAAATCAACATAAACCGTCAAAATTTTTAATGGGACCATCAAGAATTTTAACTTAGGAAATAACGAGTATTCAGCTAGTAGTTAAAATAAAATTATTGTATTTGTAACTTTTCATTCCGGGAGCAGTTTCATATATTTTTAAAAGTCCAGACATTTCATCTTAAAAATATAAATGATTTCGAATTTTGAAAACCAATTTTAAAAAAGAATAATCAGTCAATAATCGGCGGTGGCAGCGCGAACGTGGAAAGTCTTTCTAGGGGTATTATAAATAAATCTCAGTATTTAGTTTAATTACTTTAATGATAAGTTTTATTGTCCCACTGTAAAATATAAAAATTTATTCGATTTTCATGTGAAATTTTTTTTCTTTTCTTTCGCAGTTGATATTGTACTTAACATAATATTAATGTATTAACATAACAAATGTGTAAGATCTTTTCAACATTACTGCAAATAAATCTAACATAACGTATCAGTTAGTTATATTAATCCACAATGTTAATTACTTTATAATAATTTTAATGGTTTCTTTAGCTCCTCCCATCAGAATATGTAGAGATCGCTATTCTCTCTGCTCTCAGCAAACTCATGAATAGTCATAATTTATAGCTACAGAATTCATATCTCTTTCAAAGGGACACTTATTTCCACACTATCGGTATTAAAACTGCTAATTATTAGGGCAGCTTTAATATTTACCAAATATATCAACATAATACTTAGATTAATACATTTAGTACCTATTACATAAACCTTCAACGTTTTGTACACAAATACATTTATCAATGATAGCAAAATAAAGCCAAAATTTTAAAAACAAATACAATTTTTATTAAACCTTGATAAGGACATCAGAGCATGGCCATCTGGGGATATTTCCGTATTGTGATCTGTCGAAACTTGCAATTTTCTTTTTTTTCTCTTAGTAAAAACATGTAGATATTTGCCCGGGGGTAACTACGAATTGAACGCAGAAAGGGACTAACCTTTCGAGTTAGTCCCTTTCTGCGATATATATATATATATATATATATATATATATATATACTGTCTATATTATATCTATAATAATGTAT